TTAAAAAAAGTAAGTGTGGAGACACATTTGTTCATGGTTTTCTCCAAAAAATGCATCAGGGAGAGTTTTTAGAGAACACCAGCCTCCTTCGACTTTAGATGCCTCAGGACAGGATTGGGATCTCTAAGATTCATTTATATTCATTAAAAAAAAAGCATTTTTAATGCTTTACTGGCTACAAGTTCTGCGCTTAAAATCTTTGCCAACCCGGTACATGATAAAATGATTATCAACCCCATGCATTATCTTGCACGTGGAGAATGCAGATTCCGAATTCAACGTGAAATTTTATCTTGGCAGAGCAAAAGGGCAAGAAAGATGTCACTAAACAGGGAGTGACAGCAGCACAGGAAGGTGAAAGCTTGTAAGAAATGTCTGGAAAACTATAGGGGAACTATGATCCCTTGAGCAGATCTGTTGTGTTCTTCTTTCTCAGGCTGATGAGCCTGCGCCAGTGGGGAATTATGATCAGAGGAAAGAAGAAGAAGAAAAGCTATTGCTGAAACTCTCTCAGCAGCTGGAGCAACTCGTTCTTGTCTTGGATCAGGATAATGTGACCATGAACTGCGCAGCGTAAGCAGCTTAAACAAATAAATACAGTCTGCACTTGAATAGAATTGTGCCCGTGTGGTTGGAAAGGACCCTGGAAAGCTGTTCTCTCATCCCCTTTATTATCTTAACATCCAGTTAAAAAACAAGTACTGAAGAGTCAGCTCTTAGGGGGCTTGTTTTCTTTTCATGAACAACTCCCTGGAATTTTCTGTGGGTGCTGGTTAATGGCTGAAATACAAAGTGGCTGTTGTGAGGAGAGGATGCAACGTGGTCTGTACACTTAGGGAGGAAACGGCGTTGGGGTTTTGGAGCTTTCAGATCGGCACAGAGAGGAAAACACCGGAATGGAAATTCTGTATGTGGGTAATGGCCTTGCAGAGGAGCCCGTGTTGCAAGGCTTTACAGCCATTGCGAGAAGTTTTGTTAAAATAATAATTAAAAAAGTTTGATTTGTTTTGGGTAGGGATGAGGAACATCAGAAAGATCCTCAAGCAGAAGATGGAAACGCAGAAGAGGATGAGGGTGAAGACAAAGGAAGCACTGAGGAGGAAGACAGTGAAGAAACAGATGATGAAGATGAGGATAAATTGTTGGATGATCCAAATGTTAAAGAATGTATTGCAGTTGGCAACTTCAGTGCACAGGAGGAAGGGGATCTCACATTTACGGTAAATATGTCTCGAGAAGTTTTTTGATGTGTCAGTACTGCAGATCATTCTGTGTTAAGCAATATCGATAATTAAATCCTGTGCTTCTGGGATTCAGGCAGTTTCCTCCTTGCGGGATTAACGGAGAAATGCCTTTTCCCACTGTACATCTGGCTTGGTGGAATCCAGCGTCCGTTTGCCACCTTCGGTGGTGACGGGGTCTGTCACGGGAGTCTGTGATCTCTGTTGTGGGAAAATTAAGTTCTTGTGTTTGGTGGGTTTTTTTTTTTTTTTAATATAATTGTGCCCGGAAACATTCTGAAATATTTGGTTGTGTTTTGTCTCTGTCTCTCCTTCTAATGGCAAAGAAAGGTGAAGTCCTGCTGATACACGACAAGAGGGCGGATGGCTGGTGGGTAGCTGAGAACTCCAAAGGGGAGAGAGGCTTCGTTCCTCGAACCTATCTTGCGGTTAGTGTGCTGCAGCCTTCTTCTGTTCTAGTCTCCCCTCTGCTGGTTTGTATGTATTAACGATCATATCGCTGCATGAAATTGATGAGAACGCTTGTGTGGGGCCACACAGCGGTGCTTTGCCAGTTTTTTGGGAATAACACTGTGTTTGTGTGTGTGTAAGGAGATAGCCAGCAAAAGCAGTATTTCTGTGCCTGGGGAAGATGTGACCTGTAAGTGCAGGGAAGTTTTTTGAATAGGAAAGTCATAATCTCTGTCACTAAAGGTCAACTCTGAAGACCCCAAGCTGCTATGGACTATTTTGGGCTTTTCATAATTTATATGAGATGTGACTCCATGTAAATGTTGGAGTATTTTGTAATTTGACACAGAAGAACCTTTTCAAAAATAGATCTTAAAGTTTTGTAACTTCTGAGTTTTCATTTTTAGAGTGGCTCACACCTGTTAGTTTCTGTAGTTACGCACAGTTAGCCAGCGTACGATTGTGATGGATCTTTAAATGCGGGTACAGTTTGGATGGAGCGAGTTCTGCAAATCCAACCTTTACCCCTTGGAACAGAGCTTCTCACCATGTAACTAAAGAACGTGTTGAGTAGCTAACGTTTTGCTTTGTGAGGGTGATGTATTTCTCTCTTAAAGAATCCGCTTTGCAAATGCGTTCTCTTGCGTACTTGGAGGAATACTCCAATCCCTAGCTGTAACGGCAGAACTAAGGGCAGTGTTCTGCGGCTACAGTGCTCTGGAGTGACAGAAAACCTCTTCTGAACCATTAGCATGTGCTGTGCTTGGAGAAAGCATTTTTAAGAACCCAACTGTGAAGAAATCAAGCACTTTGCCTTTTTTGAATCTGAATTACAGGTGCATAATGAAGATGTTGACAGCCAGGGGGAAAGTGATGAACACGTAGAAGTGGTGGATGAAACAGCAGACGGAACTGAAATTAAAAAAAGGTAAATGGAGTGATGTGAAAGCAAATAACTAGAAAATTATGCTTCCTTCTTCTCCTTAAATCTTTTCCTAAAATGTGACTGCATTTTTCTTGTCAGTACAGCAGACACTTTTTTTTTTTTTCAGTTTGCAGACACGTTTTTCCTTGAGTGGGTTTGCTGGGGAGTTCTGCTTTGATTTGTTTTTGGCTTTCCCTGCCATAAACTCAAAGAATGACTGAGTCATGCATCGAGTTCTCATGAGACAGTCTGTCAGTTAGTGGCCAGAAATATGCCGTTATTGGTACCTCACATACATGTGGTTAGTAAGCTGTTGGTATTTGAAGACAAACCTGTATTTAGTGTTCAAATTTTTGTCCACACAAGGGTGATATTTTATAAAAAACACATTCTTTTCCTTCCAGAACAGATTCTCACTGGAGTGCTGTAAGAAGAGCTATCACCGAGGTGGGTGTATGTCTCACATAGTGACTTCATCTCCCATAATGTTCATTATTTTGTAGGCAAGGTTTGCCTTTGACCAAACACTCTCTCTCATAGTACAGACCGATGTTTTTAACTAACATCTCTATCTTGTTTTTGTAGCAAGAAATGCTACAGAAATGTTCTCTAATGCTTTAGAAATAGGCTGCAGGCCAGCCCGTGTGTCTGAATGAAGACAGAAATGAGATGTCGTCTGTTGTTTTGCCGCAGTAGTACTGCACCATTTCTTTCAAGGTTTTGATTTTGTTCTGTAACTGGCTGCTCTGCTGCTGCTTTGAACTGGAAGGGGGATTTAAAAAGACAGGAGCTTGGCTGGGGTGATACATGAAACGGAGTAAAATATTTGCTGGAGTTGGGCCAAACTAGCTTCAGATGAGAAGAGGGGACTGATGGCCCAGGACTCTGATATTGGTTGTGTGAGAGTTCTAAATGAGGATGGAATTAAGATGTTAAATAGCAGCAATACTGATATCTGTTTGTTTTCTAACAGAATGACACAGTAGAGGTATTGGCAAACATAGGAGCAGTTCCTGCAGGATTCCGCCCGTCCACGCTTTTCCAGCTCTTAGAAGAAGGTAAGGTTTTCTCGTAATAATTGTAGTGCAGGAGTCTCAAGTGTCTGGGGGGAGTTTCTTATCCTGGTTACTAGTCTATTGGACTAAAATCACTATTGCTTAATTATAATTGGTAATTTCTACAGGCTATACTTGACCTGTCGAATAATGTATAAAAGGCTTTTTGTTCTTCTTCAATTAAGTTTTAATTTATTTGTGTGAAATCCTGGCCACTTGGAGGCAATGACAAATTTCCTAATGATTTCAAAGGTTTTCCTCTTTGGAAGATGCTTCCTGTTGACGTTGCAGGAAATTATGATTTTTTTAGTCTCCTCTTTCTCTTGGAGATCTTTTGGAGTCTCTTTGCCAAGTATATTACACATTTCATATTTTCTTAGTCTTTTTGTTTAAAACTGTTTCAAGTCAATAGCTCTTTTTGTTAATTAAATTATTCAGCTTCTGGAATGAAATACTGTACCTACAGCTAGTAAAAATACCCTTTTTAAAGGGTGCTGGTAGAAGATACCTCCATAGTTTTGTCAAATGTTCAGATGCAACTTTAGCCACATTGCAATTTTGGGTGTCATTCATTTTGTGTCCACAAAGATCATACAAAAAGTAAGAATTTTAAAAATTACTCTTGTTGTAGGCAGTCAGTTTCGAGCAAGTTACTTTTTGCAGCCTGAACTTACTCCATCACAGTTGGCTTTCAAAGACTTGGTGTGGGACTCTGCAAAAAATACTGTGAGTATGCCTGGTAAGAAAGCTATTCTGCTTTTGGTTTGAGAGGAGTGACGGGATCTGTAGATGGGAATTGCTAGAAGTGTTTCAGACTGGTGGGTAAATATGGCTGTGAAATAGGTGACAGATTTCAATGTCAATCCAGAGTCCTCAGGCAGTAGATGTTATCACATCCTACTCTCTAATAGGTGAAAAATTGGTACAAATGGTCATGTTGGGTATCTTTTGAGAATCATGTTTCATCTTAAGTCTGTGGGTTCCTTCCCTGTCTGGGGTGAAGCATGGGTGACTAGTCTGAATTTTGAAACCATGAACTTCTGCTAGGCACTGTGATATCACCAGTTTCATTTGTCTTCTTTCATTTTGGCTAATGATTATATCTCGATTTGCACCATTTTTAGAATAGTTCTTTCTTCTTGGACTTTGATAGGACCTATCTGTTGCACTGAAATCCTTCTTCTGTTGCCTGTATTTCAGATCTATCCTAGACCAACTCGAGTATCGTTGATTGTAACTTTATGCAGCTGTAAAATGATTCCTCTCCCAGGAGTCAGCATACAGGTTCTCAGCAGACATGTCCGATTCTGTCTGTTTGACGGCAATCGGGTAAGTTGTTTGGCTATCAAAAAAAGTCTTGATGAGGTCTGGATCTTTCATGATCCAGCTCCTCCCGTTGTCCCACTTGGAGAGAGACACATACACACACAATCTGCCTCCCAAGCTGCTTGATTTACTGACCGATCAGTCCTGGCCTGTGGTGACACGCTGACAGGCGTGCCCTCGCTCTCTCCCTCGGAGTCACCGCAGATGCGTAGCCCCCCAGTGACCTGTGGTCTGGCTCGCTGATGGCACCTAGACGTCCACACACACAGGCACTGAGAATAGAGAGCCCATTCACCCAGAAAAACAGCTATAAATGGAGTTTAGTGGAAAAACAGGACGGACCGCACTGGTCAGGTGCCGGGCATGGCAGACACGCATACTCACCCCTCTGTTTTCCCACCCTTGTTACTCCCCAAAGCACTTTGATCCCTCCCTTTTGGCTCCTCCCCTGAATGTCCCACAGAAGGCCATTTGCAGTCCCAAAATGCTCTTCCCCTGCATGCCGCAGTGCCTCGCTTCCTGAAGCAGCAGCCGCTTTTGGTTTGTAAGGTGATGGATGATCGGAGAGCCGCTCCTTTCGACTCATCGCGATGGGTGTCACGCCCGGCCCCTGGGCCGCCCTGGGAGGGGCTGGGGCAAGAGCTCCATTTCTCCCAGTCTATAATTTTGGTCCCCCCACCTGCCATTGTGCCTCTTTGCTCCTTCATGTTTGTGGAGAAGAGCCTTTTCCGGGCCGATCTCTCTCCTGCGATGGGTCAGGGCCATATTCGGGTTCCCCCACCTGCCGTCCATCCTCTGTGCTCCTTTGTGTGTATTTGTGGAGCGGCTTTTTCTAACAGATCTAACGCTGACAATCCAGCCGTTTTCTTCCTGCTGCACTGAATGCTCTGGGGGCAAAGGGACTGTTACTGGTGTATGTGAAGCAGGGATGGTTGGAAAGTGCTCTGTGTCTCCAGAGAAAACTTCCTCTGTAGTCCTTCAAACTGAAACCCTCTGATAAAGTTGAGGAGCAAGTGTAACTTTTTCTTTGTGTGCGGAATGTTGTATGAATCTGGGATAACACTGCGTTTTCTTAAAGCTGCATAGCTCTCCAGAAAAACCAGTCTGAAGCTTTTTTCACCACTTAAAATATTTTAGGTGCTGAGTAACATTCACACCGTGAGAGCTACGTGGCAACCTAAAAATCCTCAAACGTGGAGCTTTTCTCCAAGGGTATGTATCTCGCTCAGGGAGTGACACAGTAACTATTTACGGCTTCTGGTTTAGTGACATGTATCACTTCAGGTATTTGTGTTGAAATAAAACGTACTGCAACCAAAGTGACCATGCAGGAAAGACAAGACGTGCTGAAGTGCATAATTCGAACTAAGCTAATTGTTTTAGCAAAAACACTTTGGAGAAAAGATTTGAGGGCGAGGAGAAGTAGCCGGAGGGATTGGTGATCCAGCTGGTGGCACTGGTTAACTTTGAATTGATACCAGGTGCACACTGCGGGGTGTTCCTGGAAAAGGGAGGAGACCGGCTGCTCTGCAAGTGAGCTGTTGCTTTGGTTTAATTAAAAAAAGAGCACATGCTATGTCCCGTGTTCCAGGTGCTGTGCAGGGCCACACTCGGTAGTGCTGTCATGTTTTACCCCAGTTGTTGCTGTGTTCTCGGAGGGAATCAAGTGCTTTCTGACATCTAAAGTCCTTTGATTCATCACACACAAAAAAGGTTCCTTGGTAGCATAGCTCTGTTTCTTGGCAAGATCAAGAATAAGGGGAACAAAGTTTCAACTGAAATTGGTTCTGTACTCATCAGTTTCTTTTATAAGCAATGGGATCTTGTGTGAATGAGTGATGTATTCCGTGGCCTCTAAAAATCAAGAGGTTTTTTTAATCGGTACCTTCACTTATTTTTTTCCCCCCCCCTCTCTGTATTAGGTAACCGGCATTTTACCCAGCTTGCTCGATGGTGACTGTTTTGTCAGGTCCAACTCTCTGTCTTCAGGCATCGGTATATTGTTTGAACTTGGCATCACGTATATTCGCAATGTGAGTGTGTGGAGTTGCAGTATAAAACTCTCCAAGCACGGGTTTATAAAATGAACCAGCTGTCCCATATTCCGGGTCCAGCTGCAGTATCCCAGCAGCAAACTGTGAGCTCCAAATGGAAACGCAGCTGAACTTTTCCTAGCTGACTGCAAGACTGTATTCCTTTTGCCTTCTGGGAGGGAGGAGAGAGATGTTGGGTTTGGGAACTTCTAGTTCTAGTTGATATTTAGAGAATAAAAGATGTGCTGATGAATAGACATGAATGAACCTTTACTTACCCTGAAATAATTTCTGGTAGTCTGACAAAGATTTTATACTATGTGATTGGAGAGGAGCAATTCTCTCTCCACTTCTGCATTGTTTTTTCTCTCTTTGTGATTTGTTTCAGACTATTGTGCTATATCCAAAAATGTGAACTGTTTAAATAGTGTGGATGCTGGTTTCTAGCTGTGATACACCCTCTCCATCTAGGATATGCTCTTGAAAGCACACCGAGTAGTGACACAATAGCTGGTACAGCCCGTAAGAACTACCATAAGGCACACAAGAAACACTGATATTTGGAGGATACCGTGGCTTTTCGGAACAGGTCACTGTTCTGAAATATCTCAGCCACTGTGTCTACAAGACTGGCTCGAGTCTTGCTGCCTCTTCCTGAACACTTAGTTTTCGTTACAGTCACAGTCTTCCTCAGGTGAACCCGGGCAATTGAGTAAATCACGGGAGAAAGATGCACAGTGGGGTGACCACCACGGGTAGCAAGCAGGATGTTAAATGGTGAGGAACAGAACTCTGCAAACAGGGACAGAGAAGTTGCAAAGGGGAGTGTTGCTGTGTTTTCTCTTCCCCTAACACCGGTGTGAGCTCGGGGCGCACGGGTGCGGTGCGGGTGGAGAGGTGCGGAGGAGAGGCAGGCTGTGTGCTGGTGAGGGATGGTTCACAGAGACCCGCTGGGGCGTCCTCGCCCTCCCCGTGCTAACCAGAGCAGCCAAGAGTGTGCAGAGTTCTCTGCTTCCGTTGACAGAGTAAGTTTAAATGAAAGCTGAAGCGCTTACCAATTCCTACCTGGTATTTGTGCTTTTGGGTCTGGAGACTGGCGGGCTGGCACACAGGATCCTCCCTTTCCCAGGCACGGTCTCTGGTGCTATGAGTAAAGCCTTCCCATGCGCGGGGCCACTGGCTTGGATCCTGTTGACCATGGAATCAGATGGGTAAAGCCTCTGGGTAAATTTTTTCCCCTCCTCCTTTCTGTCCTGCATTCTTTAGAGCATCAGTGCAGGTCTGGGGATTTTTACCTTTGTATCTGTGCATTTCTTCTTTTTCAGGAGCTTGATGTACTTAGGTTTCCCTTAAATGTGTATTTCTTGGCTTAATAAATCCTTGTCTCTTCCTTATGTTCATGGGCGATCGATTTCAGCGTAACTGTGTGTGCTGTTCCCTAAAACATCTTCCAACACCTGCAAATGCGACATAGTCAGGGTTTGCTTACCACAAGTCTGGGGCTTTCACCATTTTACATGATTATTTTAAATAATTGCTTGTGGTTCAGTTACTCATTCTGGTTTAGCTGCTAAGTTATTTAAATTTACCTTTTTTTTGTTTTTTTCCTAGTCCACAGGTGAAAGAGGAGAGCTAAGCTGTGGCTGGGCATTTCTGAAGCTTTTTACTTCTAATGGAATGCCTGTTCCTTCCAAGTAAGTTTTTTATGTTTTCCTTCTCTCTGTAATTACATATGTATGTATATACATGTATTTTAGACTAGGGGTAAAGTTTGTATTTCATACCCACACGCTGACAGGGGCAGGTGTAATCCAGAGGAATGCACAGGTTGTACTGGCTCTTATCCAGCACTCTACAATAAAATACAATAAAAACACAATACACAATACACAAAAAAATACAATACAATAAAATGTGTATGTTTCCATTTTATTAAACGTAGGAAAGCTTTCTGCTTTCATTGAGAAATGATTCATTGGAGAGCAGACTTACAATAGTTGATTTTTACCAAATACAGATAGATATATATGTGTATTCCGAATATATTTGGATTACAGGACCAAAAAATAAAATAAACCCACAGGAGACTTCTGCTGTTCTGTAAGCCTCTAACTCTCTTTTAAATCTGATTTTCTGTTCCATTAAGTTAAGCATGGTACCCAGAGAGGAAATCGCGTGCTTGCTTCAACAGTGACTTACTCTTGACAGAACTGGGATCATGTTATTCTTCAACATTTTCCATCTTCCATATCTTAGTAGCTGTGATACTTCAGCTGTGACTCCTCAAAAACTTTTTAGTGAAACAATTGCTGAATTTCGTAGAAGAAAAACATTGGAGTCATGTGGAAGAGAATCAGTGTCGCTAATTTATTTTAAAATAATTAACTATTTTCCTCATATAATTTAAATCTCAATACAAGTTTCAAATTTACCATTTTTTTTTGGTTACTTAGTAGTTAGGTGGAGCCTTTTCATATAAAATACTAGTCATAGCCTCAAGCATTGTGTGAGGTTTTTTTTTGAGATAGCGGGTTTCTTTTTTTTTTTTTTTCCAGAAAGTGGTGGTTCTGTTCTCACATCTCCTTACATCCTTTTGTTGTAACTCTGCTGCTCTTCTTTCACAGGATGTACGAGCTGCTGTTAAATGGTGGCACTCCCTATGAGCGAGGCGTCGAGGTTGACCCATCGCTATCAAGAAGAGGTATGGTTTCTCCTGAACATTATTTAAATGAAATGACACAACACCTGCTGTACCTATTGTACAACATGCAGCGCCAGGCAGGGCCCTCGTTAGCGTGCAGTGGCCACAGCCTGGCTTTGGTTTGTGTGTTCTCGTTCTGCACAAGAGAGAGCTGATTGTTAGGGCTGGTGGCATTCAGAGCCACCTGCCAGCACTCGTGTTTCTGTAATTTCCAGTGCTCCACCCATATTGTGAATCCACCATCCTGGAGAGAGGTAATAGCTTACGTTAGACCAAATGCTGAAATGTTGATGTGTTTTCAGATAATTCAGTTCCTCCTGGTTTTTAGACCACCCTTAAGCCATTACTGTTTTAGCAAAACATCTCTTGCCAAATTTAAATGTCTGTTCTTGTAATATAATTCTTAATGATCTTTCAACATGACAGCTTTCACATTGGGTATTTATTTCTTAAGCAGGCAGTGGTGTTTTTCATCAGTTGATATCACTCAAGAAGCAGCCAGTGCTTGTAGTGAAACTGAGGTCATTAAGTGTGCAGTCGAAAGACATCCTGAAGTAAGTATGCGTGTGTGCTGCCGTAAAGTGCGCAAGTATTGCAGACAGCCTAGAATGGTTCCCGAGAGCCAGCGTGCTCACTGGCTTCAGAAAAATCTGAGGGTCGTGTCCCCTGCATGTTGTACTTGATCTTTGCTTGACACCTAGAGCTGTTTGGTTGAAAACAACTACATAGTCTTTAAATTTAGATAATATTGAAAACCACAACACCAGGAGTCTGGCTGTTGCAGCTTGATCAATGTGCACCTTCCAGAGCTGTGACAGATTCATGGAGTTGCCACGTAGGAGAGTAACCATCCCCATGAAGCTGTCATTACTCTCAAATTTTGGTGAGCAGTGCTTCATAGCAGCAGTTTTGAATAAAAATCTCAACTGCACATTGTTTTATTTTCCCCCCAGTTTTCTCCCAGAAACGTTAATTGGCAGCATGTGCTCCATCCATCTCTTGATATTGTATCGGCAGATACTTGGTGATGCTCTCCTGAAGGACAGAATAAGCATGCAAAGCACAGGTAAGAACTGCTGCTGCGGAGAGGAGCTCAGTGGTGGAGAAACATCAGGTTCCTAAAAAAAAAAAATTTCTCCAGAGTCTGTAAGAGAAACCCGGGGGCTGTGGGAGCAACTCGCTGATCCAGGGTACTGGCAGGATTTTGTCCCTGGCACTGACCGACAGATCTCAACAAGGTCAGGAAGTCATGCTCCCTGGGCAGAGGATTTCAGTATTTTAGTGGCAGCCTGCGGGTGTTGTGGGGACAAACAGAAAGCTGTTGTCCCTTTGCTGTGGATGGCACTGCTCGGTGTGTTTGCACTTCCAACTGTTAATATTTCAGCTCGCACCTGGTGCCTTGCCCTGTCTGACATCGGCTCACATCGCAGAATGCAGAAACCATGAGATAGATTTATTTTCTGTGAACTATGAATAAAGTGTTTTCAGCGAAATTCTCATTAAAAAAAAAAGCCTATGTGGACAGGTAAAGGGTTCTTTGTAAATAAATAAATTTTAAAAAGCAAATGAAGGTAGAGGATTATTTCAAAGAGAAATGTTTCCTTTTCACCACCTGTGCAGTGAGAGATTAGTCATGCACACAGGTTTACGAATTCGTTTCTAGCATATGCGTGTTCTTGGAGTTAGAGAAGGGATTAGGCAGATGTTTTTGTCATTGAGGCTAAGTCATCCTCTTTATTTATTTTTTAAATTATTATTTACTTATTGGCTAATGAAGCAGGAAGAGGCAGAAGTGGAAGAGTTCTGGTTTTAGAACTCAGTATCTTGCTCTGATTTTACAACTCTTTTTCCTTCCCCATCTTTCCTTCAACAGAACTGTGATGGTTTATTGTCTTCTCCATTTTAAAATCAATTTGAAATATGGAAAAATTACATGACTTAACTAAGGTGAATTTATATTGGTAAAGGGATTTTCTTATGTTTCCCCCATCTCTCTGCAGACTGAATTATGTATCGTCTGTTCCTACGGCAAATCAATTTGCCCGTGCGCTTACTAACGTGTTTAACCATACTTAGGCGTCTGAAGTACAGGTTCGTCTTTCAAAGGTGCTCAGAACCTGACTCCCTTCCTGATTTTCTTGAACTTCAGTATGCATTCTGAGCATACTGATTTCAGTGTCTGAAAGTCAGACCCTTTCGTAAATTGATGCTTTGTTTAATAAACTTATCGCAGAGAAACTGAGATTGTTTAGTTTTTAAAGGGCAGCTGAGAAGCACTCTATGTACTTGATTTGATCTTTACGACATAGGACAGTAGATGAGGCTGATGACCTCTCCTGGAGTTAAATTGCATCCATTTGGATTCTGACTTCATTGGAAATGATTTAAAGGCTTTACTCTGGCATTTCAGAAGTTGTTCTTGTGGCCATTTTCTACTTTTTTCTGCCGTGACAAAAGCAGGTTTCTCTTATTTCAAGATCAACTATCACTTTAGGCAACTTAAAATGCCTGTTATATTTCCCAAAAGCAGTCAGTTCTGGCTTGCTTCTGTGAAATGTTTTGTCATTAGTTGTTTACTAAACTCTCCATCAGCTTCAACATGAAGAAACAACAGCATACATTAAATATTTAAAATCCCAAGAGAAATAAAACACTTCAACCAAAGTTCCTCTCTGTGTTACTTGTAGCACTCCTGTAATCTTATCCACAATCTCATTAACTAAACTACCGACAGGGCCGCTGCGCCCCTGGGGTTCAGGCTTTGCTGGGCTTTGTAACAAGAGCTGTGGATCCCGAGAGCCACAGAGGCAGGGATGCCCTGCCCCAGTTAGATACAGCCAGCCCGTTCGGCTCCAAGGGGAGATAACCCGAAAAGCACGCAGGAGAGCGATGGGCTTCGATGATGTGCCCCGTTTGGTAGATTTACTTGTTACCTGTTCTCAATTGCACACAACACGCCAGGCTAAGGCAGAAAGAAGGTGTGTTTATTGATAACAGCCAAATCCAGCAGCACAGTTTCAGGTGTTTATATAAAAGACAGGTGCAGAAAGGAGGAAAACACCTCCATCTGCCCCGAGGTTCAATCGGTAAGGTCTCCTGCTCGCTGGCATTCCCAATAAGCCAGCAATTGTTCCTCTCGCCGGTTAGCTGTCTCGACAGCTTGCTATGGTCAGAGAATGCCGTTGCTGGCTCTTCACCTTCCCTGCAGCTAGTTTTCCCTTTGAAATATTCTGAGGGGAGGGGATGTGCTGCATACCTTGATGTGTTCATCCCTTGAAAACCATCCTGTTCCTTCCTTAGCCTTGAACGTGTTTGTTTTCTGTTTCAGATTTAATCTGTAATCCTGTTTTAGCAACTTTCCCTCAGCTCCTGGATCAGACAGACTTGCTGGATGCACTTCGGGTACGTTATCTATGTAGTGTTCAGTCACATCCGATGGGTCAGGATTGCCAGAGCGTTTGCAAAATTTGAGCTTTCTTTATCCTGTGAAAAGATAATTGGAAAAGCCAAACAGCAGAAACGTTTTATAATTGTTTCAAGTCCGTGCAGATCTCGTGTGTCTTGTTGCCTTCAGAACAGCAAGAGAACGCTTGAGCAGGACAGCGCTCACCGTATTTACACTGCTGTCCCGCACAGGTGTCCTGCGACCAGACAACAGCAGCTGAGTCATTTCTGCACGAAGGACACAACTGTTAGACACTGTCAGCTTTGGGGTTAGGCTGTATTTCTCCGGGCTTGTACGGTGGAAAAAAAAAAAACCAACCTCGGTTGTGACCGATTTTTCTGAAAAGTGGATCCCCTTGATTTCACGTATATGGCTCTGGGAGTTTCAGATCTCCAAATCCTCGCATCTGTACAGTCGGGTGGAAGGGCTGTTTGCTTGAATCAACTAACCTGGCATGAGGGAGGAGTGGGGAGTGTGAGGGAAGTGGGACTGCGACGGGAGCTTCAACTGCTATGAGCCTGCAGGGAGAGATTTTTGCAGCTAAAAATGGAATTGGTTTAGATCTCCACAATCTCAGTCTGATCTTACATTTCATTTTAGAGCGCTTGGGCAGAGAGAGAAAGAACGTTGAAGAGATCGGAGAAGGTAATAAATTATAGGCTTTTCTTTGTTAGTGGGGGAGCTATTACAGGTTCGTACCCAAAGCGTGGCTCCCTTTCATGATGTGCTTCCCACACTCGACTGGTGAAATCTTTCCACCCGCACAGAAGGGGCTGTGCACGTCCACAAAGTGATCTTTCCTCCTCCAGCCCCCGAGCTACCGTCCTCCCACAGCCTGCCTGGAAAAAGGCCCCAGATTCCTCAAATCTCCCCACCTCAGACAGCTGTCATCGCCCATTTTGGTGTGCAGACAGCTGGAGGAGAACCGACCTGGCCATGGCACCAGGCTTCCCCTTAGCCTGTCCCACCTCCTGAGCTCGGGACAAAGCGAAGCTGGAGATAACCGAACGAGAGAGGCACTGCCTCCTGCTCCAAGAGGCTTCACTTCTTGGGAGCAGCAGCAGGATATTTCATTCACTGTGTGTGCTCCTGAGTGGGTACACAAGGAGATCTCCCCGTTTACGCAAACAAAACAAACGCTGTTGAGTCAGAATCGCTTTTTCAAGGCCGTTCAGCCAGAATGAAAGCTGATCTGCTCAAAGAATGAGTAACTCCTCGCTAGCCCAGAACCAGCCCGTTCTACCCGATTTGGCGTGTGCCGCTCCCACGGTAGGATTGCTGCCTGCTGGATTCTTACTCCTCCTTGCATGGTCGTACGACGCTTAGCTGCCAACTCTCCCGCTGAGCTGTGACTGTGCCATGCTGGTCCCGGTGATCATGGTTCTGCAGGACTCTCGGGGGGTCGGTGAGTTTCCAGGGAGGCAGCGCTCTGTGCGTGTCCCCGCGTGAAGGGGTTTTTCCAGCGTGTGCGTGGAAAACGAGGCACACAGATCTCAAAGCAGCCGGGTTCTTTCAGCATTTGATAATTGACCAGACTGATTCTTAAGTCTCTGGGTTTTGCAAACGGGGCTTTGCAGCCAGGGGAGGGCATAATTCTCGCCACACACACAGAGTGTCCTGGCAGAGCGTGAAATAACAGCGCCGACGGTGTGGCCCGACCTGCTCAGAGCCGCGTGCTGCGAGGAGCGTGGGCCTGCTGGGACTCTGTGCCTAGGGCAGAGTTTGTGTAGTGCAGCTCTTGGTGGCGAGTTTGAGGCTCATCCAAGCTTACAGTTGTTTGTTTAGGAAGGTCAGATCTCCTCCCGTTGTTATCCTCAGAACTGGGCTTGTTTTGTTTTTTTTTTTCTTTTCCCCTGCGTACACCACTTGGCAACACCGTGTTATTTGCATTGAAGTATTTCCAAATCCTCTTCTCTGCAGAGGGACGGAGAGTTTCTGAAGTCTCTATTTGTCCTGGTGTACCACGACTCTGTCTTCCCGCTCCTCCACTCCACGTTCCTCCCTGACTACAAGTGGGCTGAGGAAGCATCTGAAGCATCTCGCTGGAGGGCGATTGCGGACTTCTTGAAAAAGAGCCGAGAGAATGACGGTGCACTTCAGTACCTGCTGTCCTCAGAAAACACTCACAAAGCCTTCGATATCTCAGAGCTGGCTTACGATTTCTTAGGAGAAGTGAGGAAAAACGATTCTGGAGAATGAGTGGGTTACAGAAGAACACTTCAGGCGCTGTAAGAATGGGGTAACTATAAATTCTTACCAAAGAGAAACCGTGTCCTGTCTGACTTGTAATGAGTATTTTAACATGTTTAACATTTTGAGAGAGACCAAAATTATTTTATCGGTTTAACTAATAGAAATTACACTTTAAATTTTTGACTTTGCAGTGTCAGCCAAGGCTCTGGTTGTTGGTTGCTCCATGTACCTGTTGCAGCCACGTCAAGTGCTGTATTTTGCCCAAGCTGAGCAAATGCTGAGGCAGCACTTTTCTCCTCTCATGCAGCTTCCAATTAATTTCCAGTTTTGTTTTAATCAGGGTGAACAAGTGTCTCTTTATCCCCGTCCCCCAGTAGACTGGTAACAGGCACAGAAAATAGCAATGACCTTTAAGAATGCTGCTGAGCAAGGTCAGCCAGGTTAGGAAAAAAACCCATCTCCTGCCCGATCGGTGGAGTGCAGGTTGCTCTGCAGTGAGACTGTTTTTCTTTCCCACTCAGGAGAAGGTTGGGTTATTCCTAGGAATGTGCATGACCCACCTAGCACAAACAAAAGCTGGTGAGAATTCAGGGCATGCCGTGTTCCCCCCGTGCGCGGCAGCTCCCTCTGCGCTGACGTTCTAGGGCAGAGCTCCTCGGGGGGCCGGGCTGGGAAAGGCTTCTCTTCCCCGAGCAGTCTGGAACCACAGGCTCTGTGTGCTGCCCGCTCCCAGGGGGAAGTTAGTTATTAATCCGATTTCTGTGCTGGAGTGTCTGGATGCTTTCTGCATGGTGATGGTGCCACTGTGTCCGACGAGCCCCCGAGCCACGCGTGGATTTCAGTCCGAGCCAGGCACTAGTTCTGTCTGGGGGGAAATGTTTTAACACAAGATCTCTCCAAGACCAGGGCACACTGCACACAGCCTGAAGCAGCTCCCACTGGAGCCTTCAGAAAGGCTGCAATCCGATGTCTCAGGAGGGGCTCGGACATCACGGGTTTGCTCTTTGCTCTGAGTTGCACAAGAGCCTGGCACAGAAGCCACGTTCCTAGGGCATCACCTGGCTCTCCCAACAGAGATACGAGATCTTACACTAGGGCATCGTCCTCCTCCTGCTGCTGCTGCAGAGCACGGCCCGAGTTAGGGCAGAGTGACTCTGCTACGCCACGAGGCAGAGGGACCACCTTCAGCCCTTCAACCTGCCACTTATCATAGAATCAGTGAGGTTGGAAAGGACTAGGAAGTTACGGGTGAGGCAGAGTCTTCCGGAAGAAACAGCACGAGCTTGTCGAACCCAAGGCGCGTCAGCCAGGAGGTAGAAAGCAACGTTGTCCTGGCAGCTGTCCTTCAGCCCTTCCAGGGCACGGAGGAGCACACCGGCCAAGCCTCCTGCCTCGTACCAGTGTGTTGAGTTGTCTGTTAAAAATGTTTGGCTGCAGGTTTCCGAAGGCTGGACGTGCTCGGTGGGTGTGGGGAGTCTGATGTGAACACGGAGCAGAAACCTGAACAGCAAGGGGTGGAGGCAGCAACTGTGGAAGTAAAACTATTTCAGGCTTGAAAATGTGCCAAGGACAGAAAAAAAAAAAAAAAGAAAGATTGCAGGAAATGTTTCTGCCCTGGCATGGTGTAGGATTTTTTTTTTTTCCATTTCCCCTCTTGTTAAACACCGTGAACTGACCCTG